GAGGGGTCAGCTCAGTGCGGTGCCCTCGCCAGAATGGCACACGGGGAGGTGACGTGCCTGGCAGAGGGACAGGGAGGATGACGCTGGCACAGGCAGGCCACACCAAGGTGACCCCGGGGCTCTCCCAGTCCTATTTCCCAGGACTTTGTTAACGGCCCAGAAATGACACGGCCACGTTTTGGGGAAGGAATAAGCAACCAAATTCTGTTATCTCAATGAAAATGGGGAGTTTAAAACCCCACTAGCCCAGTGCAGAGGCACCGGCTGGGTCACACCACACCCAAATGGGAATCGGCAGCGCCAGAGGGGGAGAAACGGTTGGGGGCTCAGCGGGCCTACAGCTCCCGGGTCAGCACCCTACAGCTCCCGTTTCAGCACGGAGCCTCCTGTTGTTAACAGGGGATCAAGGCAGGAGCGGCTCTGGGGAAAAACAAGCCCAGCACCGATTACAGCGGTCATGTGCTGGCTGGGGGAGGGGAAGCACAAGGCCACGGCTCAACTGACCTACTAAAATAAAAGCTTTAACTCCGAGCCCAGCATTCGGAGCGCCAGGAGCCACGCTCAGACAGAGAACCCTCAGAGGACTCCAGCTCTCAGGGTACGGCAGGAACAGCTCCGGGCTCAGCAGCTTTTTAGGCAGCGGAGAGAGCAGAGGGGCCTTGGGGACAGATCTGCCAGCAATGGGTTGTCTTCTCCCCGAGAAGGGTCCCAAATCCAAAGGCCAACAGGATCTTTACCCCCACAGACAAGGTGAGGGCCATGGAGCTCTACCCCACACCAGGAAAGGAGCGCTCACGCCTTCCAAACGATGCGGAGCAGGATGGAAAGCTCCTCGGCAACACAGTCCTGAGCAGGCTCTAACACCCGCAGCCGAGATCCAGGTTATCCAAGATCAACATCCCCCCTGAAAGTCACCGATTCAACGGGACCAGGGGCACGATGCAGCTCCTCCTTCAGTGCTGCACAGCTGCACCCCCAGGTCCCCTTCCTCAGTGGGGCTGGAGACGGAGCTGAGCACCCCGCTACCCACCAAGGTGTGCCAAAGGGGAAGCAGCACGACCGCCCAGGAAGACAAGCAAAGCCAGGAGGGTTTCAAAGCCCTGCTCTGTTTTCAGCTGTTTAACCAGCGGCCACAGGGTGTTTCCAGCGCAGGAAAGTCCCTGCGGGGCTCTGGCACTCAGCAAGCAGTCGCTCAAGGACGGCTGAGCGCACACGGGGAAAGTGTCACTACCTGGACCTTGACCCTGCTCACAGCTGGGCAAAGATCAGACCCCACAGGGAAAACCACCACCAGCCCATGCGGAACAAGCTCATCCCCAGGGAAGAGCTTTCCCTCATGCTCCAGACCTCCCCCTTCATGCTCTGGGGCAGATCCCAGGGCAAATTTATCCGGGGACAGGGGTAAATGACAACCGCAGGCAGGGCAGAAACCCACTGCCTGCTCCTCGCTGTGGGCAGGGGGCTCGAGGCCGCAGACGCACCTCTTCCAGTTTGTCAATAATCATCGCAAAAGCTTTGAAGATGGCATTGGTGGGTCCAGCGAGGGTGATGATCCGTTCGGGGCAGTTCCCTTCTGAGATGTTAATGCGAGCACCGCTCTACGGGAGGAAAAAAAAAACAAACAAGCAGACATCAGGGTTCCCGGTCCCAAACTCAGACTTCCAAAAACAGCAGCAGGTCCAGACGCTTGGGCTCAGTTCTGCATGGGGTGGCCGGGATCCCCCACTGGTGACGAATCCTCCCTCGTTCCCTCGGCTCGGCTCCGGGCAGCCATCTTAGCCTCCTCGGCTTCCTGCCCCAGCCCTGCCTACGCCTCCCAGCATGCCTCGCGTCCGCCGGCTCCCATCTGCTGCCGGTGCCGCTGGCACCGCACTGCCTGCAAATTCCTTTCAATGCCCACGCCGCCACGGCCCCCCGTCAGCTCCTCGACAGCTTCCCCTGATCTTCCCGGTCCCGGGACTCACCTCCTCACGCATCTTCTTCACGGACTCCCCTTTCTGTTGCGGGGGGGAAAGAGAAGGGAGAGGCGTTAGCGTGGCTGTGCTGGGCAACAAGGGGGAAGAGGGAGGCAGGGTTGAGGGGGTTTGTTGCTCACTTACCTTCCCAATGATGCTTCCCACCTCCTGAGATGAAAACAAAAGCAGCAATTAGTCAGTGCTTCAAAAACTCCGGGAGTCCCAAGCTTAACCAACTCCCTTTGACAGCCAAAAAAAAAAAAAGTTCCTCGGCACCTCAAATATCCCCCCCGCAAGAGGTACTGACACCGTGCTCTCAGCCCAGCTCTCCATCAGGTCACTTTTCCCACCCCCTCCCCAAGTTGTTATTTTTATTGATGCACTGCGCTTTTAAAGCGCTGCCTCCCTCATCATGAGATATCCAGGAGCCGGCCGGGTGCCAAGGAGCACATTCCTAACACCACTGCCTAATGGCTGCAATAACGAGGCAACTTCGAGAGCTCCGACCGACGCCGATTTACTGCCATGGAAGTGTCCAGCCTCCATCCGGGCTGCCGGAAGAGCCGCTCCCACGCCAGGGAAGGGGGCTTCGGTCCCACGGACACGTACCTTCCCATGCATAAGTAGTCGGATGGTGAGCGTGACATTTAAACCACCTTCAATGACACCGGTGTCCATCTTGAGCTGCGTTGGGTTGAGTCAGGCTGCGTCAGTGCTCAGATCTTTGGTCGCTGGGCAAGCGGAGCTACAAACAAGAAAGGGGTTGCATTTGAGGCGCTGTGCCAACCCTCCCAGGCTGGTTTCAGACCCATCCCAGGGGAATTCAAGTCCTTTTATGTTTTCTTCTCCCCTTGAATCTCCCTCTGGCCGTTTTAAGGCCACACTCCTCTCCAAGCAGCAATCAGGAGAGCCGATCCGCGGCAGTTCAGCTCCCTAACAGGCTGCTCCTCCTGCCAGGCATTTTCCAGGGCCGATGGGCTGAACTGGTACGATCCCACCTCGACAGAGCAACAGTCAGGGCTGCGAGGGTCTCGCTCATCCCCTGCCTCCTTCCAGCCCCGCTTCTCGCAGAGGCTTCGCCTACAGCTCCAGGGAACTTGTCTCTACTTGCGAGCCTCACACCTTAATCTAGATTACAAGCTTTCCTCCACAGCTGCGTGTAGACACACACGCGCCAGACGGAGCAACCGCCCCGTTCCCCTTCGGTTTAACGTGCTTGGAGAGCCAGGCTGTTGAGGAAATAAAATATAATAACTTATCTGCACCCTGAGCCTGCGTGGGGAGGCCTTTCAGACCGGTTTCCAAGTTGATTTACTCAAACCAGATAAGGCCACATGAGCACACGATCAGGTTTCAAACAACCTGCGGCCTGAGTCGACAGCAGTTGCAAAACACCACGACCGGCCACCAGCTCAGTTAGTCAGCCATTTAACTTTAAAAATAAATTAAATAAACTAAATTTTAGCTCATTAATCAGTCCAGCTGGTCACCACCCCATCAAAGTTTAACCAAGCCCAGGGAAAGAAGAAGCCGGGGCGAGGGCAGGGGGATTAATCTGGCAGGGGATCGTGCCAAGCGGGCAGCACTGCCATGCTCCAGCTTAATGCTCTTTTAAGGGGAAGCCGCTGGCATAGAAGGTGGTGGTGTTTTTTTTTTTATTTTGCCATAGCGGGGAGTTACGGCCTCCATAAAACTCAGCCTGACATCCTGTCAGATCTAAAAAGGCGCCCGTTTGCCTAGTTTGGAAAGGAGGAAGGGCTCAGGATCCAAGCCCGGCAGCGGCAGAGCAAGGAGAGTCTA